GCCCTGTGTTGCAAGATGGGTGGAGAAGTGGACAGAGGCCGAGGAGACGTCTCTGCCAGCTGGTTCGGCCCCGTGGAGAGCTGCCTCCGGTCCACCTTCTACTCGTGGTCGTTGCTGGGCACAGCCTGGAGCTTTAGAACTGAAGCTGGGGTGAGCAACCAGACACGGGTTTCCCAATCTACCTTCCTGGACTCCGAAAACACCCAGCAATGGTGCCAGGGGTTCCGACGACCTATGTCACTCCGTGAAGTCCGGAGACCTGCATGCCGGGACTGACGGGTCACAATTTCGCTTGGATGCTCAGAGCCAGTTCACACCACTTTTAGCATCTTGCATAGGCACCAAGGGCCAAGCCGCAAGGCTCCTGGGCTGCACGGAGACGATACTCAGCCAATAGGCACCACACAGGCAAACACAGCGCAGCTCAGAGCAAAACCGTCTCCCTGCAGCACGAGCTCCCTGAGCCCCCAGGCACCGTCTCGGCGTGGGTGTCTGTTCCTCTGCCACCCACTCCCCCTCCTCTGCCCCGTCCTACCCCCACTGCCCTCTAAAATACAGGGAGTCACAGCAGATGGACAAACATGGGCCCTGGGAAACGAGGAGGATAGGAACAGAACACGTTACCCTCCGCACACATCTCCATGAATTTCTGAAACAAGCTGGCTTTTCTATGCCAGCACTACTGACCTGTGACTTGCAGGGTGAGCACTGACTGCTCCAAGGGGCAGGAGGCCGTGTTCTGGGCCTCAGCCTGCTCCCGCCCCTCAAAAATAGACTCCAAAAACGAATAGAGATTTCTAAAGTTTCCTTATTCCTAGCATAGAGGTCTCCATTCTCAGCCCCTGGCAATGCCAGCACGCCTCGGGGCAGGGAGGGCAGCCCGGGAGGCCCAGGGTCCAGAGATCTGACCACTCTTGGACCCAGAACAGCTCAGCATGGCTTCAGGACTAAGGAGCCAGGACCGTCACCAGGATGACCAATTGAGAAACTGCCTCTCCGGCTCCTTCCACAATGCCCCCAGGACAGCTTGTTGAAAAGAACCTGAGAGTTCCGCTTGAAGTTCGTGGGAATTGACTTAGGAAGCAACCCAATGCTAAGAGCTAAAAGACAAAAAAAAAGGCCACAGCGTCTGGCTATGGGACATCAGAGTCGGGGGGCACCCAGCAACCCCAAGGCAGAGTCTCCTGAGCCGGATGGTCCCAGGAGGCCAGTGGACACAGGCGGGTGAGGGTGATGGGCTTGCACGGCCTGCGGGCGGCTCAGAAAGAAGGAGAATCCCGTCTTTAGACGGCATTAGCCTATCAGGGTGGTACTCGGCGCCCCACAGCTAGAAGGCAAGGCCTTCCCGTAGCTGATAATCCCCTTTGAAATAGGCTTGTTTCTCAGAGTGGTATCTCCTGAGGAGTGGCGAGCCCCCTAAATCCGGGAAGGATGGCTTCACTGCCCACAAGGGCTCAGCCCACGGGTGCCCGATCTGACAGGCTGGGAGGCGGAGCTGGGGCAAGAGCAGAAACAGGTGTTTCCAGGGAGGGACCAGGAAGGGGACAGGAATTTTATGAAGAGCAGAATGGCGGAACATACATGTTTAACAAGCTATAGGAGCAGTCACGGATGTTCATGGGAGGAGAAACGCGGGGTTCACAGCTGAGCTTCATGCTACTGCTGCCTGGGAGCATGTTCGGGGGAGGGGAGACAGAGGACCGCAGGCCAGCACCCCTCGGGTGCCGGTGGTCTCGTGGGGAGGGGGTGCGGATCAGGAGGTGTCCACAGGCAGAAGGGCAGGAGCAGCACCAGCGAGGAGTGGAATCGCCCCGACCAGGCCTTTCCCGAGGGCGGGCTGTGGTGTGCGCTTAGGGAAGAAGAAAGCCTGGGGTCTAGCCAGGCTGGCCCGCCCACCCTGCCGGGTCTCGGTCAGGAGCTCAGTTTCAAGGTTTCTCTGGGTCCCCTTGGCCAAGAGAGGGTCTGCTCAGTCGGTTGGGAGCCTAGGATTTCGTTTTTATTTCTCAGTGGGAACACGGTTTCCTTTCCTTCTTGCTTCATGGGATCTCAAAACCAAAGCATGGGATGCTAAGCACCTTCCTTCTGCTGCCCTTTCAGAAACCAGAACGTTCCGGTCAGCCTCAGTCCTGCCGGAGGTGGGCGCGTTTCCAGCGCTCCAGACTCGGGCCCATTAGTCCCGCCGCGGGGCCCACCCTGCTCCGGCCCACCTGGCTCCGGCCCACCCTGCTCGGGCCCACCCTGCTCCGGCCCACCTGCTCCGCCTTTGTCGTGTTTTCTTGCTGCTCCTTTTTCCACCCTGGCCTCACCCTGCTCTTTACTTGCTCCGTCCCGCCCTGCTTCTGCGCCACCGGCCCGCCTCTCTTTCTCTTCTTGCTCCAGCCCACCTCTCGGGCCCGCCCCGTTTCTTTTTTGCGTGCCGCGCGCCCGCGCTGCCTGCAGGTGTCCTGGGCGTTCCTGAGGCCACAGCTAATTCTGTTCGGTCCCAGACAGACGCTTATTAATTTTTAATTGGTCTAATATTCTTCTTTACTTGCTAGGCCAGTGTTATTTTAGGTGCGGCTTCTTAACCTGCGAGTAGAAGTCGCCGCTGCTGTGAAAGGCCCCGCGACTGCGCTCCCAGGTGGGGCGCGACCTCAAACGCTTTCACCTCTACGCAGCGCCCAAGTGACTCGCACCTGGTACTCTGCTTCTCGCCCGATGTAGTGGACGTGCGGTAATTGAAACCTTGCTCTAATGTCCGCTGGCCCGGTGGCCCTGCGCATCCAGGCCTTCCCCCCATGGAAGTCCTGCCTGTGTCCATAGGTCCTCTTCTCATTCTTGGACGGCATATATATACCCCTCTCTGTCCTGTGTCACCTCCGGAAGAGCATCCTGTGACAAAAATATGGATCGCCTTGCGGTCACCAGGCAGACCTTTGCTCAAGGTTGGCGCGGCGGGCCGGCCGGCACGGCTGGGTGCGCGGGGTGCGCACGCGCGTGCAGTTTGGGAACTGCGGGTCGCCCACGTCCTGTGGGGCAGGGAGAGGAGCCAGGCCCCGCCACCTGCGCGGCCTCGCTAGCCCGGACCAGCCCTGCTCCGGCCGCAAGCGGGGGACAGCTGTCCTGAGACAGAATCGGTAGGCCGCGGATGTACCGTGTCTTCCCCCGGAAATAATGAGACCACCCCCATAACAAATAAGCCCTAGGCAGATGTCTAAGCATTTGGCGCCAATAGAAGCCCCACCCAAAAGTAAAGCCTTAGTGGTGGGCGTGGCTCCGTAAGCGCATCTGCCAACCCTTGCATGTCGATGCAGAGCGGCGTAAAGGAGGAGAAGCAGCCGTTCGCATCTGCCCCTGTGGAGAGCTCTATGGCTTCCACCATTGAGAGATTGGGCCGATGGTTCCAAAGGAAATTAAGACGTCGCAAGAAATTCAGGATGGAATTCAGGGTTTGGAGAGTGATGATGATGTTCCAGAAGAAGACGACTTCGCTATATTTGAATAAATGTAGATGGTTGTGCCGTACTTAAAAAAATAGCACATCCCCTGAAAATAAGCCCTTGCGTGTCTCCTTGAGGAAAAATAAATGTAAGACCCTGCCTTATTTTCCGGGAAACACGGTATTACTTAAATGAACCTTTTCCCGTGCTCTGTTTACCTCTTCTGTTCAATATGGTCTATAAATATAACGAAACGTCCTACCCAAAGCACAGGTTATGGACTCCCACGTGCGGGGCCTGTGGCTCTGCCCACCGCGTCCCCGCAGTCAGCTGTCCGGCTGTGCGCGTGGCACGTGCGGGTCCCAGGATGCAGCTCCAGGTGAGAGGACCGCGGTCCGCCGAGGCTCAGAGCTCGTTCGGAACCGGGCCGGTCGCCCGTCAGGCCCGTGGGTCGCTGCTGCTGCAGACACGGGCCCGTGCTGGGGACAGGGCGACAGCGCACGGCTGCGCTGGGGCAGAGTTTGCGCGCGCCAGCGTGACAAGGAAACGCTGACGCTCACTGTCCGGGAGCCGTGACCGCCTGGACGGTCCTCTCCAGCCTTCCTCTCCGTGTCCCTCCGCCTTCTCCGCGGCGCGGGTTCTAGGCCGGCAGGTTTGACAGACAGATTTGTCCTGAGGGCCACGCGCTTCGACTGGCCCCCGCGCGCCTGGGATTCCAAAGACGGCGGTTTCCGCTCCGGGGAGGGTGTGTCCAGGGGCTCAGCCTCACCCGCCCCAGAGGCGGGGGCGGCGTCCGGGCCATGAGGCTCCAGCCCGGCCGGGTTCCTCCTTCGCCCAACTCGGGACGCGACCCAGGGCCAGGCGCTCCGAGACACAGCCCAGCCTGGGGGACACACGGCGCCCCAGCCCCCCACACAAACTCAGAAAAACTCGTTTCTGCTTTTGTTTCTTTATTTTGCCTGATTGCAAATGGGAGGAGAAAAGAAAGAGCCCCCACCCCCACCCCGAGTTTACGCAAAAGAGATGGGATTCCTGTTATCCAAGGGCTGGCACATGCCTTTTCCTTTCTTTTATAAAACAAACAACAACAAAACCCCAAACTTTCAAGAACACCCACGGATGGGATCTAAGAAGCATTTCTCCGTCCAGTCCCCGCCCGGCCCTCGGAGCGCGTCCCGCGTCTCCACAGCCCGCGGAGCTACAGCCGGGGACGCTGAGCCCTGCCCTCTCCAACACGAATCAGGACTTTTCCCCCAAAATGTAAAAGTTTGTCTTCCCCAGCCTAACCCCAGCCCTGCCCTCCTCGGTGTGGCCGAGAACTTCAGAACCGCGGGAGGCCGTGCGCTCCCTGCCTCGGTTTGGAGACCCAGTCCGCTCGCCCGGCGCCCTCGAGACGCGCGCGCCTTCAGGATGTGTGAAGCGTCAAGTCCAATCTAACGTGAAACCCTGTCATCGCCGTCTGGAATTAGCACGCGCGGCGCTGATTGCGCGCGGTGCCCGGGGCAGGGCGAGACGGGGGACGGCGGGACAGAGCCAGCGCTGCAGAGCAGAGCCCGCCGGGGCCAGGGCTGCGCTGGCCCCGCTCCAGCTTCTGCACCGCGCGGGCAGCTGTTTACATCTCGCTGCTTTTCCTGTCACTTGCTAAGCCACCAGGGGAAGATGAAAAATTCCCGCCCTGGTGGTGCATAAGCAATTTGGCCCGATGCCAAGAAAGTGGCCCGGGCAAGGCCCACCATGCAAAACTGATCTTGGAGTTTTGCCTTTATTTGGGCACCAGAAGGAGAAAGAACGTGAGCAAGGAAGAAGAGTGCAAACCAGGAATACCCTTTGGGATGGAAAGCTGGAATTCGATTTTGAGCTTGGGTGGCTAAAGGGCTTGCCCTTGCGTGTGGGTGTGGATGAAAGGAAGCCCGTTAGTCCTCCAGAGCCTGGGACGGGGACACTCGCTCAGCGGAGGTGTCACTGACAGGTGGCAGTGGAGGCCTGTCCCTTGCTGGCCGCCCACGTGCCCTCCCTCTGGCCGGCCACAGGCCCCGAGGAGTGATTCGCTCCCGGCATAGCAAGTGGACAAGTGTGTCCTGACACTACACTGTAACTGGCAGGCTCTTTTGCAAAAAGGCAGAGAGAAGCAAGTATTCTATTATTTCTGCTTCTTGAATCAGGCTCTTTTTTTGGCTGACACCAGATTTGCAGGCATCTGGCTGTTGTTCTGTTCTGAAAGCAACATAAAAAATTAGGCTTCTGAGTCTTTTTCCCCCCGTCGCCACTGTTACAAGCAGGGCTTGGATTGCAAAGCTGTGCATTGCTTACCTTGGAGGTCTGATCCCCTGAGAAGCAAAGCTGACGGCCGCAAGGCAGCAGATGCCCGAGTCCATCCTGGAGGAGAGCGAGCCAGAGTATGCTTCCTCACCAAGACAGGAACCCTGTTTGCCAGAATGACAAGTTCTCCCAATACTGAGAAGGGTCAGGTGGTGGCCCTGAGCCGGGTCCTGCCTCTGACACATCACGCGTGTCACACGCGGTCCTCCCACTGCAAAGAACACTCAGTGGAGAGACACACAGGTCCTGCAGAGCTGTGGGGGGAGGGAGGCCTCTGTTGGAGCCACAACCCCTCCCGGCAGCTGAGGGACAGCTGGCAGCCGTGGTGGCATTGTGTCACCGTCACCGGCAAGATACCCTCTTGCCCCTTCTACCTGGACCTCAGCTGCCCCCAGCCCGGACAGGAGGGACACAGCATCCGGCGTGGGAAGCCGCCTGGATATCAGCATCGCTCAGAACCAAGTCCCTGCCACCAGCAGCTGAGGGCTGATTTTTATCCTATCCCAAAAACGTGTGCGACCAAAGCCTCAAACTCACCTCTCGTGCTCAGGTTGACAGCTCCGACGACACAACAGAAAGTCGTTTCACTGAAAAGCAAAAAATACCATTGACTTGGGTGAACGGTGAGTCATGGTATCCACGCCGCCGAATTTGCACAGAGCATGCCTGGGCCCCGGGAGCCCGCGCCCGCACCTCCCAGGTGGGCCGTGAGCTAATTACCTACGGAGCTGGACCAGATCCTGCCTGCACGCGGCACCGCACAGGCCACGCCGGGAAACACCCGTGTCTGTCTCTCCACTCATGCCCAGAGCTCCCCACCCTGCAGCCCTCTCACCCCACCCGGCTCAACTACCCAAGTTCACTTTTCAGTGTTCGGAGATTGAGACTAAGTTTTCTTCCACTCGTTTCGGCCAGATTGACCCTTGCCGGGCGGGTGAGCAGCACCATGAGCTTCCTCAGCCGACCACTCGGTTCCTAGACGTCTGCACCAGCGTGTGTGAGAACAACCCCTGTCTGCGCTAGACAGACCGATCCAGCAATTGAACTCTATCAAATCATATTAAAAGCATGCGCCCTAGTCCACATGGTAAGCATCGTTCAGTATCCATGCAAGAAGCAGTGTCTTGTCCCTGCAACAAATAAAAAAAAATTGTGGACATCTGGCATGCTTTGGTTAGTACTTGCTGGTAGTCTCAATCAAACAGAACCTTCCTCTTGGAATATTAACTGCTATTTCGATTAATTAGGCCCTTCTGAGAATGTCTCTGCAGTAGCCAGTGTGATCCTGTTTGAACAGCTTTTCATGCCAGAACAGAGCCCTCAGCGTCACCCAAGAAAGTGGCTTTGATTGGAAAAGAATTAAAAGCCTTTCCGACCAAAAACTTTCCCCGATGATGACCTGTCTGCAATTTCCACGCTTGGTTAGCTGGAGTAAAAGAATCGATCAACCATCCAAAAGCACTTGATCGTCGGCCACGTTTCAACATTCGGCCAAACGTCGAGGGAAAGCAGACGCGACTGACTGGCAGGGTGCAGGCTGCCTCGGATCGCCCTCCTCATCCAAGGCATGTGGGCTCACATCCCAGCGTGGGCAGAAACCTGCTGACACACGCGTGTGCTGCTCATACACGCAAAGCCACGTTTCCACTGCAGAACATGGTGGAACTCCAGGAGGAAGACTGTCCGCTGTCTGCCCCCGCCCTGCGGGCCGCCATGCCGGGCACTTCCCGGCCTTCTCAGCAGGCGGCCGGCGGCCCCTCCTGCCCCACCACCCTCCCCCTAACCCTTGTTGCGCAAGCTTGTGACAAGCGTCCCTGTTGAAGGCGGTGGATGACCTTTAGCTGTATGCTTAAAAAAAAAACCTCATTTTCCTCCTTTCTCCTCAATTCAAAGACATCCTTTTCATAAAGGCTGAGGGGGAAACTGGTTGGACAATGCACTTGGGAAGGAATGTGCTAGAAACCAGAACCAGAGCAGCATCTCAGTGTCACGCAGGTGGGAGTGCAGGGCCAGCTGCCCCGGCACCCGGAGGGGCTTCCTCTGTCAGCGGGATCCCGCCAGCCCTGTGGGCCGGGGAGGCCCGGGTGCCGGGCCACGGGTGGGATTCTCAGCGTGATTCCCGCTGGGGGAGCAGAACTCCACCGTGGAGCCCTCCAGGCCCCGACTCCCTTCCCAGCAGACAGCAGCTGCTCGGGAGGGTCTGGGGGAGAAGCAAGCTCGGCCCTGGCTCGGCCGCTGTGAAATAACAGCCCCGGGCTCAGCACCTGCCGGGGGAGGAAGTGTGGAAGTGAGGGGCGCAGCGCTCAGAGCTCCTGTCAAACAGAGACTCTGTTTGTCTTTCCTGACGGGGCTTTGCAATCTTTCTGTTTTCTTTGGACTCTCTTAAGTGGAGGAATGTCGTGCGTTTCTGAATCGCGCCGAACGCTACCTCTTTCAGGAACAGCCCTCCCGGGGTGGACAGAGGCCGAGAAGGCCGGATTGACGACAAGCCCCCAGACCCAGCGCAGGCCTGACTGTGTAGTCCCCCCCACACACACACAGTTTCCTTTTCCATCTGAATTAAATCCCAGATGCTGACAAGCACTGTCGTCAGAAACGAGTGACTTTCTGATGCGGGAGGCCAGTGGAGGCACAGGGTGGAGGCCAGAAGCCCCCAGAGGCTGCCTCGGCAGGTGCATGGAGATCCCGTGACGTCCTCTGTGTGACAGCTGGGTCACTGGACTCCGTGCAACGCGGCCGTGAGCGTGAGTAAAGACACCGACTGCGTGGCCTCCCTTCCCTGACAAACTCATCTCAGGCCTCTTTCATCCACGATTTGCACACGCAAACCCCATTGCCTTATGGGGCGAGTGACGCCTCTGCTTGGCACAAAATGCTTCTGCAGCTCCCGACTTGCTCGACCCCGGGATTAACTCGGGCTCTGGTCCCCTCTGCAAGGCGACTTTCGGACGGTGCAGAGGACGCCCAGGCCTGACTCCAGGCCCCTGCGTGGGGGTCGCTGCGGGAGCGAGGGGAGGCCCGGGCCCCCACCCCGAGTCCCAGGCGCCCTGCACGGCCGCTCCTGCCCGGCTCCATTGTCCCCCGCCACACGCCGCATTTACTCGTCCCTCTCCCGTCTCTCCTCGCTGAACTGACTCCCATGGGAACGGGGTTTTCCCTCTTTGCTCACGAAGGCCCTCCCAGCACCTGGACTGAGCTCGGCGTGATACTCACCGTATCAAGCAGTGTCCTCTCAGAGGTTTCTTAGTAAAGGCTAGCCACTGACACAGCAAAATAAACTGTACATCCTGTAAAAAAAAAAAAAACAATTCAGTGAGGAAAAACTGCCGCATTAAGTAGAGAAATAGCTGGCTATAAAATCCTCAAAGTGTCCTGGTCAGCAGAAAACCCAAAACTCAACGCTAATGAAAGCTTCATTGAGCAGGAAGACCACAGCAACAGAGCGGTTACCACAGCAACAGCGTGGTTACCACAGCAACAGCAGCGGCTGGCCGAGGCCGTCAGGGAACCTGCCCCGACACACCTGTTGTATCAGTTTCTCTCGACAACCCTTTGCACAGACTCTTCTCCGCGAGCCCACGACCCTGTCGGAGGAAGCCTCGGCCGTATTGGGGCCAAGGCGTGTTCCTAAATGTCATCAAGAAATAAGCAAACAGAAAACATTAAATACATGCAAGACGGCATTAACTCTGAGGAGCACTGATTTGCAAACTCGCCCCTTCCCATGCTCCCAGCGAGGAGTGACCGCAGGGCAGCCGCGCGGCTGGGTGGGCTGCTCCCTTCGCCCTCCCTGACCTCCCTCTGCTCATCTCGCAGCTGGGCTCGCCCGGGGGGTGTAGGCGTTCGCCTCGTCTCTCTTCAGTTTTCCCGAAGGCGAGAGGACGCAGCCCGGCCTCTCCTGCACCCTCGCCCGGGTGGCTGCACCAGGGCCCGTGTCCCGCCTCGTCTGCGGAGATGCCGTGAAAAAGCTCCGGAAGGAACCAGGACAGGTGGCGGCAGAGCCCTGACTGCCACTCACTCGGGAAACGGCTCCATCTCAAGCAATTCGGCATGAGAGCAGATCTGTACTTTCCACTTTTATTTTCTTAAGGCAGTGAAATCCCTTCTTTTTGTTCCTAAGTGTAACATCAGGCAGAAACCCAGTTTAAAAATGAAAGCAGAGTGTGGAGTGAGGCTGGGACCCTCTTCCCAGAATCCTGCGACCGGCAGGTTGCAGAAGGGCGTTCTGTGCTCTACCGGTTAACTCAGCAACAAGAGAGACAAACGGAGACTATTGCTTTTAGGCACAAAAAGTCCTGCTTCTGGCCGGGCGCGGTGGCTCACGCCTATAATCCTAGCTCTCTGGGAGGCCGAGGCGGGAGGATCGTTTGAGCTCAGGAGACCAGCTCAGCTAGAGAGAAGACCCCTCTCCACTAAAATATAAAGAAAATTAATTGGCCAACTAAAAATACATATAGAAAATTAGCCGGCATGTGTGCGCATGCCTGTAGTCCCAGCTACTCGGGAAGGCCTGAGGCAGGAGGATCACTTGAGCCCAGGAGTTTGAGGTTGCTGTGAGCTAGGCTGACGCCACGGCACTCACTCTAGCCTGGGCAACAAAGTGAGACTCTGTCTCAAAAGAAAAAAACAATCCTGCTGCCTGTGAAGCGAGATGCTGCAGGTCCTGCTGGAAGATGTGACAGAGGAGCGTAAGTTGTCGCTTCCATAGCGGTGACCCGGATTCAGGCTCTCAGCAGCAGCCTCAGTCACAGCATCCAGTGGCGGGTCGGTTCACGGTACGTCGTGGGGAGCGTCACTAGGATTGAGTTTGATAATTCGTACAGGAAACCCAGTTTGCGGAGGCCTGACGGAATGGAGAGTCGTGCTTTGCAAGAGCAAGCAGTGCTGCGTCAGCAACCCGCACCGGCACGGCAGCCCGCAGCTCCAACGCCCGCCTTTGTCGGCCTCGTCCTGGGTTCAGCTTGTGTCCCCATGGTGTCAAGATGGCTTGGGCTCGTAGGGTAGGGAACGGCGTGTGCCGCTGCCCACGGACCACCACCTCCCGGGCGGCTGGGCTCCCGCGAGCAGGTGCACAAGACCCTTCCGTGTGACCCACAGGCGTGACCCTCCGTGTCTGCTCCTGCGGCTGCACAGAACCCAACTTCACGGTCCCCGTCTCTCAGCCCTGGCGAGGCGCAGAACCGGGAGCCCAGCACAAGACTCGGAGGGAGAGAAGAGAAGAAGGTGCTGCCCCTGCCACGGAAGTCACCAGAACCAACTGTCTCCCCACCGACGGTCACTGCAATGCACCAACGGTCACCCCTCTGCACTGACTCACCCTCTTGCACCGGACATAGCCCCTCACGCACTGATGGACCCCTCTGCACTGACGGTAACCCCTCTGCACCGACGGTACCCCTCTGCATTGACGGTCACCCCTCTGCACCGACAGTAGCCCCTCTGCAACTGGACGGTATACCCATCTGCACCGGACGGTAAACCCCTCTGCAAACCACAGTAGCCCCTCCGCTACTGATTGGTCACCCCCTCTGCGCTGACGTCCCCCTCTGACTGACGGTCCCCCCTCTGCACTGACGTCCCCCTCTGCAACTGACTCACCCCTCTACACTGACGTCACCCCTCTGCACTGACGTCACCCCTCTGCACTTGACGGCCTAACCTCTGCACCGATGTCACCCTCCTGCACTGACGTCCCCCGACTCTGCACTGACGTCACCCCTCTGCAACTGACTCACCCCTCTGCAACAAGACGGTAACCTCTGCACCGACGGTCACCCCTCTTGCACTGAACGGTACTCTCCTGCACTGACAGTAAACCCTCATGCAGCGATGGGTCACCCTTCTGCACTGACGGTAACCCCTCTGCACTGACGGTAACCTCTGCATGACACGGTAACCCCTTCTGCAGGATGGTCACCCTTCTGCACTGACGTCCCCGCTCCTGCACTTGACGTCCCCCCTCTGCACTCGACGGTCGCCTCTGCAACCTGAACGTCACCGGCCTCCCTGCACTGACGGTCGCCCTCTGACTGAACAATCACCCCTCTTGCACCTTGACGTCAACA